AATTATGTTGTATTCTGCATGTACGATGTAAGATACTGACGTTTGTAAGTGAATTTCCCATTTTAGAATCAAATTATCTGAAAAGATTAGTAACTTTCATGTTAAGATAATTCTTTTGCATGCAGACATGATTATCTTGAATGCTGATATGCTTTTCTTGCATTTTGACATAATTAATCTTGCATATAGGGAGCATAAATATGTTATCATGCTGGATAGATGACAGGCTGATTCTTTTTACCTTAATCCTTAATAAGCAGAGTTCATAAAGTATGTTTGCCAGTGCCTCGTCTCTCATCAATTATCCAAATGAGCTCTAATACAAACTAAAACCTTTTTTTCAAAATTGTCCTTGGGTATTTTCAGAATAAAGGCGGAACAAAATTCTACATAATTAATTTTCCCATTTAATTTCTCATTAGTACACTATTTCCTATATGCAAACATCCTTTCTTGTTTTTTAATGACGACCACCATTATTTCCGCGATTTATCTTAATTAAATTCCAGGTAATGTTGGTCGATTTTTTTTTTATCGAAGAAATCTCGTGGTACTATGATTTTTTATTTCGAATAACCTAGCAAATTATCAATTTAAAAATTACATTTTGCATGTTGCCTACGACCGTAATACATATTACAAAAGAAATTAGATCACATGTAACACGTTTTAGGATATGTTAAGTAGGTTATAAACAACAACATGGATATTTTTTTTTTTTTGGGGGGGGGGGGGGGTGATTTGAGAACATTTAATCATACAAAGGTGTTCACAAGAACTATTAAATTTCAAAATAAGATTCCTGCATTTTTCCCCAGAAAACTGTTCAAAGACAAAGGAGGAATATTAGTGAACAGTAAACACTGCTGTCTTGTTTACATACATTGACAATGATTGAAAATACTGTATTCAATTACATTATCTTAGTCTTGTACGATGTGAGATACTGACGTTTGTAAGTGAATTTCCCATTTTAGAATCAAATTATCTGAAAAGATTAGTAGCTTTCATGTTAAGATAATTCTTTTGCATGTAGACATAATTATCTTGCATGCTGATATGTTTTTTTCCATGTTGACATTATTTATCTTGCATGTAGGGAGCAGATATACGTAACCATGCTGGATAGATGACAGGCTGATTCTGTTTACCTTAATCCTTAACAAGCAGACTTCATAAAGTTTGTTTGTCAGTGCCTCGTCTCTCATCAATTATCCAAATGAGTTTAATACAAACTGAAACCTTTCTACAAAATTGTCCTTGGGTGTTTTCAGAATAAATACGGAACAAAATTCCACAAATTAAGTTCTCAGTTTTACACTATTTCCTTTGTGCAAACATCTTTTCTTGTTTTTTTAATGACGACCACCATTATTTCCGCGATTTATTTTAATTAAATTCCTGGTTATGTTGGTCGATTTTTTTTTGGTCTAAGAACATTTCATGGTACTATGATTTTTTATTTCGAATACCTTAGCAAATTATCAATTGGAAAATTATATTCTGTACCTAGCCTACGACCGTAATACATAAAACAAAAGAAATTCGTTCACATGTAGCACGTCTTAAGATATGTTAAGTAGGTTATAAACAACGTGGATTTCTTTTTTTTTCTTTTTTTTTTTTTTTTTTTTTTTTTTTTTGAATTTGAGCACAATTAATCATACAGAGGTGTTCATAATAACTAGTAAATTTCAAAATAAGATACCTGCCTTTTTCCCGAGAAAATTGTTCAAAGACAATGGAGGAACTTTAGTGAGCAGTAAGCACTGCTGACTTGTTTCCATACATTGACAATGATTGAAAATACTGTGTTCAATTACATTATCCTAGTCTTATTTAATGTTAAGAGTACTTTTTTTTATTACAAATTCTCGCATTAACTGTATATTCACGTTAAGTCTATCGTAAGTCCAAGGGCAGATTGCTTTAACTGCTTAATTCTACCTTGCAGTTAGGGCTATTTAGTGTACAGAGTTCAGGACACTTAAAGAACTGAATATCTTCATAGCATGTTAAATATATATATATACCTTTTTGAAGCAAATGTAGAGCACATAATAAATTCCACATGAATAAAACAACTATTTTGTTTATTTTACATAAAAAATATATTTTTATACATATGTATGAATGATCAACATATACACTTTCGTTTGTTTTTATTTCAAGGATATATGATGAAAAAATAATAAACAAAGGAAAAGAGACTAGATTTGCATAAGTAGTCTATCGTTGGTTAGTAAGTCTCCTCTCTCTCTCTCTCTCTCTCTCTCTCTCTCTCTCTCTCAATAAAACAAATGAAAAAGGTCATTATATTGATTTTTTCCGGATAAATGCTTCAAATAAAGTAATTTTTTTCCCCAAAACATGGTACATGCATTGGAAAGTCTGTTTGTCAGCAAAAAAAAAAAATAACCTTGCCCATGACTTTTGATTGTTTGGAGCTATGACTTTCATATTTCACATATGTATACCTTCCTTTGGGTACCAGCATATCTGACCTCTTGCCCTTGACCTTGGAGTTAGATCCACTTCTGCAAAAATTATCTTCCAACTTTTACCTTCATATTTCACATGTGTATTCACCGTGACAAGACCTTTCCATGATTGTAAATATTATTTTAACTGTTGGCCTTGACCTTTGAGTTTGACGCACTTTTGAAAAAAAAACTTAAACCTTGACCATGTATCTTGAACACTTAGTAGTAGGGCTTTCGAATTTCACAGGTATATTCCCTGTGACAAGACTTTTTTTTAATACCAACAGTTTTGACCTTTTGATATACACCTTGGAGTCTGATTTACTTTTGAATAACTTTAACCTTCGCCATAACTTTTGAACAGTTGGTGCTAGGGGTTTTATATCTCGCATGTATTTTTCTTCTGAAGACGTCTTCCAAAGCAATCCATTAATTATAAACCTTAGAGTTTAAACAACTCTTAGAAAAACCTGAACCCTGACCATAACTTGTGAATGGTTGGTGTCTGGTCTTTCTTATTTTCAAGGTATACACTTTGACACAAGTCCTTTTTTAGGTCACAACATCTCTTGACCTTGGAGTTTGACTTGCATTTGAGAAAATTTAACCTTCGCCATAAGCTGCCATACGGGGGTACAAACCATTTTTTCAAACACATCTTGCTTTTTGCAAAAATGTTTATTTTTAGATTGACAACTGACACATTTACCGTGTATTTTCTCGAAGTTGGATAGTAATTAAATAATTAAATTAATATAATATTAAGTTGGATATCATTGAAATAACCCGAAATTTGGCACCTTCTCGTATTTTGACATCATTTTGTAATTTTAATGAGTACCTCCGAAAATGTTGTCAAAATCCCGTGTGATTAGTATTTTGCAATGTCGCGTTATTTGGAAACATCGGAAAAGGGCTGTCAAAAGCCTCTTTGAAAAAAAAAAAAAAAACTTTCAAGGAAAAATTGCAAGGAGTTAGGGTAAGACTGTAAGAATGGTACAGCAAATCAGCAATTCATATTTTATAGTTTATATGCACGGTTTATGACCGGTGGCGTTATTATAAACATTTATAAAAGATTTTTTTTACAATGTATACAAGGACTTTCGGTCTATTATATAGATTTCCACTATATTAAACAAAATGTATTCTGCATAGAACTGAAGTGTAACAATGCAATTTTCTACAAATGTATCTTGGGTAATAGAACTCTTGCCGTTGATGAAAAAATGTATAAAATTCTTTTTTTCATATATGTTTCTGTCCGTATTTTTTCATGTAATTTCAACTTTGGCGATCTAATGCTCATTATTGTATCGGACGTTGGACTCAAAATAATAATAATAATAATAATAATAATAATAATAATAAATCTGAGTTTCACTGCTGTGTAGAATCTTATTTATTTTCCATTTATTTCCCTTGATTTAAAATTTTCCAACATATCGAGTTTACTGGGGCTTATAAAAACACGGGCGTCATTTCGTTTTTATGAAAAAAATATAACTCTTAGCTAAACCTCTCCTGAGCTTTAATCGTTCCCACAGACTGGATAAAACACCTGACAAATTAACACCAGCAAATTCTTTAACTCTGTCCTCTATTTTTCCGTGATTGTCAACTTTGTCATTTTATCAGAGCAATGCCTTTTTACCCAATATTACGATAATAATATATCTTTGACATACTTTTCAACCACCTCAGAACTGAAGGAGCTCGAGAATATTACTCCATATGATAGATTGTAGTCTATGTAAACATTCTCCCAAGAGGCAGCTGTGTTTGTTAGCGTGCATCCAAGCAATGAAGAAAAGTAAACTTTAAAATTTTACTTCGCTGAAATTGTGTCTCGTTCATGTCATTTTTATGGTTAGTATGTTAAACACACTGGATTCTGGCGTCATTTTCTAATAATAGAAATTAAAAAGTGACGTCACAATATATACATATTTTGTGATTTGTCTAATGACATCAAACTCGGCCACGTTATACGCTTAATATTTAATCAAGGAGTTCTCAGACCTTTTCAAATGCTCCTAGTAATAACTTGTCAAAAGATTTGACTACGGTTAAAGTTTTGCGGAGAGACAAATAGCCGGAGAGACCAAAAATATATGCCCCAGACATCTTCGACAACGGGGTATTAATATAAGATATCAGATTTTCAAATTATTAATCTGTAATTTCTTGAGAGAAACTTATGCTCTGTCTCTGTCTCTCTCTCTCTTATTCCTAGAGCAGCAAAAATTTCTAACATAGCATGAAAGCAAAAACCGAGTGATCTTCAAAGCTTGGTTATGTCCTATTCTGATCACTTAATAATGAACAACAGGTGCTCAAACTTATTGACACACACAATCACAATACAAATTTATGCCAAAAAAGAGAGAAATTAAACCTTTTTTGAAGACTTATTTCCAATGAACATTACAAGCAAACGTTTCATTTTGTCGAATAAAGTCGGTAATGTTACGACAAATTCATAAGTTCAAAAAGTCGTCAAAGGTAGATGTACATTCACTTGAGTTCATCATAATGAGAAGGTTGACTTAATTGTCCAAGATTTTGATAGCCTGTGTTATCTTCCACTCTGTCATACATAGTGTTTGCATATAATGTTGAATTTCGTTGGCAAGTATCCTGCTTTTCTTTGTTAGAAACGTTTCGTCTTGTATTTCTGAATATACAATAAAAATTAGATAAAGAGTTTTAATTGTACAGAAAAATCATTAAAAACTGAGGAATATTAGATAAAATTCCGTTTTATTTTAATCTATTACATGTACATGTATATGTTTAAAAATATTTATTTTCCCAGGGATTGAAATGTCGCACATTCATTGATTTAAACGCAACACGTGACTAACGTCATATTTCTATGTCCGGTAGGTGGGGATTGATTTTTAGCATTACTTCTCATCTAGCTTGTAACACTAGATATGTATGTATATATATATATATATATATATATATATATATATATATATATATATATATATATATATATATATATATATATATATATATATATATATATATATTTTGCAAGCCGAGTGTAAATTTCCGTACACCTGACATGAGCCAATGATGAAAAAAACAAAACAAAAAACGTGACGTCACAATGCATAGTTTCTCTATCATAAAAAGCAAATAACATGACGTCACAATGCATTCTAATTATGCACGTAGTAAATCTTATGAACAGTTTGAAACACCAGTTGGTTGGAATTGGGTTTGCAAAGAATTTATTTGTTTACATGGTTGGTTATTGGAAATAAATTCGTTATCCAGGTCCAATCAAGAGTGTAGGGGGGTTTACCTCTGGCTGTATTCCAAACACCCTTGATTGAACCTTGATAACTAATAACATGGCCGACGCGTTGCGTTTACACTTCAATATCAGAAAAAATTAATTACGGAAATCAATTTCCATAATGTTTCCTTTTTAAACTGAAGTAACGGCTCTTTTTAGAAAAGACGTCAGTTTTGTTGTACTGCATCATGTCGAGATTCGCTCAAGCAACAGAGGGGAAAACGTTTTAAATTAGAATCTTAACATTTAACAGAGAAATAAAAATGTTCAAAGTAAATAAAGGTTCCTCAAAATTTTTTTTTAAGATTGCTTGACAAAAAGTAAAATTGATAAGTTTGAAGATTGATTGATTGATTTTTATTGTTTTACGCCGAGTCGGCAATATTTCAGCCATATTTCGGCAGGATAAGTTTGAAGAGAATGAATGTGTGAAATTTGACAAAACACGATACTGACAATAGTTGAAATGGTGGGATACTTAAATCTTAAATTTAAATTATATGTCGTATTTAATCATCTTTATTATCACTTTTTGCAGATCCGTTGTACTGAGAGGTCGGGGGGGGGGGGGCACTCCCACTGTTTAATGCTTCTTACGTAGCCCATATATCATTCGAATGCTATGCCCACCTTAACCTCCCCACTCACCCCCTCCAACACGCACACTCTTTGATGCAGTGAAGTGGAAAGTGTGTCATGTCTTCTTTAATATTTATCAACAATTGCGAGGAATATTCTAACCGCTCCTGTGCTTAACAGTTAAAGTTTCTCCTTTTAGGGGTGGCTATCTCTACTTTCTTTTGATAAAGGTTGTTACAGGCATTTTTTGTATTCATATTTCTCACACTATGATCCTCGAAAAATAAATCACTTATTACAGTAGGTTCCTAATTGACTGTCTAAAGAAATATATCGGGTTAATAAATCTCATAAATAGCCTCGCCGTTCGTGAGATTGATTAATCTGTTACATTTCTGTAGACAGTCAGTTACAAACCTAACAAGAAATAGTAATCGCTTCTAATACTGAGATCAATTAAAACTCACCTCACAATCAGAACGATGTTCATAAAAATACTTATAAAGAGCGTTGTGATGATTCCGTACAGAGCTAAATATATGTCTGGTTTCGAACATTTCTCTATCGTCTGTTTGATTTCTTTAATGCAAAGAAACATTATTAAAAAATATATATATTTGCCTCAAATTTTGTAACTATCTCTCATGAACATATCTCCTTTAATAAAAAAAAAAAAAACAATTTTAAAATACAAACATTCAGATAAATCTATATTATTTTTTTTATATTTGATATGTCATTCAAAAAGTAAACCAAAAAAGATATCAATATCAGTATGGAAAGAAAATTTTTGACATTTTCTTCTTCTATTAAAATTTTAACTAATTATGCACCTTGATAGACTAGAAAGAGAGAAAGCCACTTCTTACCCGAAACAGGTTTTTCATCAGAAAAATTGCTTTTGAAGCCCTCTATGCACGACCCATTGTTTGAAAAACAGGTTCTGTTCAAACAGATTGGACTACATAGCTGATCACATTGTGGTCCATAATGAGTTTGGCTGCATTCTATATGTAATTATTTGATGATGTACGTTATACGTAATTTCAATGAAATATAGAGATAATGAACAATATTCAAGCTCAAAAGTTCATTAAACAATACAAAGTAGGAGCAGAGCAAACACGGACCTCCAAAACACCAGACGTGTGATCAGGTGCCATGGAGGAGTGATCATCCCCTGCCGACCGGAATTTAATCAATTTAAAAAAAAAGTTTTAAATTTGATTTTTTGCCAAATAAACCAATAAACAGTACACTATATCAGAAAGTATTACTTTAGAAGTAATCATGCAGTAATTCCATTAATCACAATCAAGAAGTTTGACTATATATCATTAAAACTTTCGATTGGTGCTCTAGCTAGGAAGATCTACCACTGTCTTTATACAAATTGGTGCACGTGATAGCCGATTAATGACTGTAATTGTAGAGATATTCGTGAACAAATATATTTTTGACGATGGTAGATTGTTCACTAGATATTTTCACTTACAATCATATTTACCCTTTTTCTTTATATCCTTAAATGTTTATCAATTATCCAAGGAAAAATAAGTAAAACAAATATTTGAATTAAAAAAAGTTTTCCAAAGTACTTTTTTTTTTTTCATTTTATTTCCTTGTTTTTTCCATTTTTCAGAGTTCAGTGTTCTAAGTTTGTATTATTTAGTTTGACTTTTTTCAAGAGCATGTTAATCGTACCTTATCCTTAAACAGAAAAAGTCTGCGATAAATTCTTAATATTATGTTCAGACTTATTATTTTAATGATAAATCTCCTTTGCGGCTATTACTGATGTTTCACGAAATACTAGCTTAAAGAGTTCAAACTTTGTATGGCAATACGACAGTAATATGAGAGTTTTGATTGTACAAATTTCTTTGCCTTACCGCCACATTGATGACCTTGCCAGCCTGACTTGCAAGTGCAACTCCCATCTGCTTGACGACAACCGGAAACACATCCTTCACCACAGGTCTGGAGACAGTAAGTACCAAATTTCCCGGGAATACATCCAAAATTACATGAACCATTGATTTTAATGCATCCATTTATACAATTATCGTTGCAAGTTTTATTACAATAAGTTCCATATTTGCCAATCGGACATTCGCCCTCATATTCTCCCGAGTAACTGTTGAAAGTTGACAGGCATGATATTCTGCAACTCTTTTCACATTTATCTGAATAGAATCCTGTCTTACACCCATAGGTGCAAGAGCCAGTGATATTGTCACACGCCTGTCTTTTACAATTCACACTACACACCTGGGAGCAATCAGGTCCGTAGTGTTGGGATTCACATCCTACAAAGATATAATAGTTCTTACGTCGTTTAAAACCTTGAAATCAAGCTTATAAACATAAAAGTACAGACAGTAAAGTATTTTTTTACTCGTCTCCGAAAACAATTTTTTTGTCACTCTTCGCCCTTATAAACATGAAATTTAACATTAATTTATGTTACAACGCAAAATGTAATAACAACGCAAAATGTTATGTACTGGGATTATTACATTTTCGTTATTACGTTACATTACGTAATCAACGCAGAACGTAATAACGCAAAAAATAATAACACACTTTTTAGGATTATTACAATCAAAGAATTCGCCATGTACATTGCTACATTACGAGAATAATGCAGAATGTAATACTTTACTTTTTAATTATTACATTTTGTGTTATTCAATTTTAATTTTATTCAGTTTCATCCTGTTACAGTGCGAACATTGCAATCTGATTTAAATTTAACTTAAGCGTTTACGGAAGTAAATTTCATGTTTTGTTTTGATTAAATTTTTAGCCCGACACTGTTTTCATAAAAAGAGGCCAGTATTTTGTTATTTAACAGAGTCGCAAATGTACAGTGAATCTTTCAAAAAAAAAAAAAAAAAAAAAGAAAAAGAAAAAACAAAAACAAAAACAAAAACGAAACGAGTGTATTCCTTGATTTTTAGATCTAGATGTACGACAAATCATTGAAGTAGAAAGATCATTCCTTGTATGTCAAATTTTCAGCTGAATTACGGGCACTACAGTGATTAATGTGTAAGAATACAACACGGTGCAATTTTAAGAAACTTACTATCGCATTTATCCCCGGTCCAGTTCGGTTTACATCCACCAATACAAACACCACTTCGAGTGCATTTGGTTTGTGCACAATTTTCACTACATTGCGAATTACAGAAAGAACCATAAAAACCGTTGTTGCAGCCATTCGTACAATGACCATTTATTTGTCTACATTCATGATTAAAGCAACTGTAACTGCATTTTCTCTCACACTTTGTTCCATAATAGCCTGTATTACAGGCCTCACAATTTCCACTTATTTTGTCACAAGTACCACTGCTGCAATTACCACAAGGGTGTTGACAGTAGACTCCAAAATATCCTGACACACACCCCGATGTACAGTATCCCGTTTTCTCGTTACATTTTCGTTCAGAGCATTTATTTTTCCAATGACAATGATATTCGCATCTATTTCCATAATACCCGTCTCTACAAGAACCACACAGTCCGCTAGTTCTATTGCACACAATGTTTGGGCAAGTAGATGGACAGTCATTCAGACATTTATCTCCCCAGTATCCCTCAATGCATCCTCGGGTGCAGATTCCATTTTCATCGAATTGCATGTCTATACAATTAGGGCGGCAAAGGAACAACGCTAAAAAAAAAAAAAACATACAATGAACATTATTACATCGTTACATGTTGCACTGTAGTCGTAGTGAAAGACTGACATTTAGTTGAAAAAACAAAACTCGTTTCATGTCCGAATTTGGATGAAGACGCGGAAAGTACTTTGTCTACGCCATGTTTTGATGCGTTAGTGAAATGAAATACTTTTAAAGTACTTTCTTAATTTCTGAAACAAAAAAAAAAAAAAAAAAAAAAAAAAAAAAAATGAAAAAGCCGAAGTTAGCTTTCTCATTATCTTTAAATGAATTAAAAATGAATATCGTAAGGTTTAACAACAATCCTTGAGCGGCATCTTTAAAAAAAAAAAGATCTTTTTTCTAAAAAGTAAATTAAAAAAAACATACTTCTTTTTAAATTCCTTAACTGTTTATTTAGTAAAAAAAATATTTCAAGTCATGCATAAAACATAAAAAAATATAATAAACTTAAGCATTTCCTGCAGCAATAAGATTTTAAATAAATTTATTTTTATTAAAAAATTGATTCTATATTAAATATATGATTCCTGTAAGATATTTCAGATGTGAAAATTCAGTTACTGTTATTTTTAAACATTACCTTACATTGAGAATTTTAAATCATTTATGCGAATATTCTAACCATGTAGTGAACGACTTAAATACTTATCACAGAAAAATAACAAAATTGTCAAGATTTTTACCATGACTGTAAATATCTCCCAGTAAAAATATAACCCACATCTCCAGAAAGTCAGTCATTTGTAAAATAGAAACTATCTTTGATAGAGTTTCGCAATCAGAGTAGTCAAAACTGCACTCTGTTTAAAAGACTGACAGTCAGTGAGCATGGTTATCACTTATGGTGGCTAACACTCAGTGCATTGTATATAAGCTCCTACTTTTTATAAATACAAGATCTTCTAGAGGAAGACGACACTTCACTGTGTCCTAATTATATTCTGTGAAACCTTAATCTGCATTTAAGAGATCAAACTTTTTTTTTAATAGTTTTAAAATAATGCCTTTGTTGTAAATAAAGATAAATAGCAACCTTTGTTAAGAATATCATATATCAGTTCATCTTTGCTATCTTACACAAAATTTTCTAAATAATGGTACAGAGTTTCCCTCGAATCTGCGTTTTCTTCATAGTATAAATTCAATGTCTTCTCGACGTAACGTCTCTGTATGAGTGAAAATTTCTCGAATACAATCAATCAATGTCATTTCGATGTGTATCAATAAAGAAAGCCATTACTTTTCTTTCATTACTTAATTCCTTTCGCTAAGCAAGTATCGTCCATGGATACGTTTGGCATACATTTTTTTTTAAATGCTGACTGTATTCCATTCATGCAGTGTTTAACTTGTTTTATCTTTTTTTCTGTGTTTCAGAAAATTGTAATGAAATTGAATAATCATAGTGGATTGAAAGGCACCTGGAATCATCCAATCAAATCATTTTATATTTAGCCGATCACTATTTAAATTTCAGCCAGTCAGAGTTTTTCAATTATTAACAATTCAGTAGAAATTAGGCATAGGATAAAAGGTATAGATGCAGAGACCCATCTAGTTTTCGTTTACTTTGTCGTTACTCATTGTTTGAGTAACACTTCTTAAGGCTAGGTTCTTGGGCTGTGTCGGGAAGCAACAGAATTGTTGGTTAGACCACTCAGCTAAGGGATCTAGTTTCTTAATGTTTCAGTGACTAGCAGGGATGGGGTAATTGAAAAAAAGTAATTGTAATTGACATTAATTAATTATATTTTTTGAAGTAATTGGAAGTAAATTGTAATTGAACATTTTTTCAATTACTTGCAATTGTAATTTAATTAATTACACTGAAAAAATACCATGTAATTTCAATTACTTTTTCAATTACATACAATCACTTTACATAATACACATTCATGATATTTTCATGATATATCGTCACCACTACCTCCCCATTTTACTGGTTTTTATTTTATTGTTAAACATATCCACAATCCTTCAATTATACAAAATTTTAGGTTAATGCTTACAAAAAAAAAAATAAATAAATGATTGGCTTGATGATAAACAACTAATTTTTTTTTCTAATCATTATGTAAATTTTGAATTTTTTTTATCTATGTTTATAAATATGAATTTTGAACCACCCTTCTTAGGTCTGTTCAGCTATGAAACACACATTTATTAAATTTCAATCTTTGTTGTTTGATCAATAATAAACAAGAGACCCATGGGCCACATCGCTCACCCTGAGCACATTAGCTAGGCAAAAGCACAAATCAGTTCAGTAGTGAAAAGATTTCCGGGGGGGGGGGGGGTTGAATTTAAAACTACCTGATGATGCTTCCATGTCTAAATAACAAATGGCTTTGTTGTACTTGAGAAGATTTAAAAAAAACAAGAGGCCCAAGGGCCTTAACGGTCACCTGAGTATGATACAACAATTTAAAGGATGCATAGAGTATGAAATGAACTGAAAGGTGAAGCTTTGTTGCCCAAAAGCAAGAAAAATAGGGGGATCATGATCAACAAAATAATTGGTCTTAATATTCATTAACAGTTCATAAATTAGGTTCTAATCTGTTCCCCATTTATCACTATCACCATACAGTATATTAACAAATTATCAATGCTTCTGTACTATTTTAATCCTTTGTTGAAATCTCTTACATTGGCCTCTCTTGGTCTTTGATGAATATTTAATAAGACAAGATATTTTTGTCTCGTTTTTATATATCTACTACTTAAAAGTCTATCTGATCATTAAAACTATGAAAGTACTTTTTGTATTATACAATAAAAGTTTTTGCATAATTCTCTTATTCTATTTACCTTTCAAGTACATTACTAACAGTGATAAATGATCAAAAGTAAATGGAAAAGGGGAATAACTCCTCTCAGTTGAATACAAACTAATAGAGCCCTGGCCAGGACCAGAACACTTGACTAAATGGTCCAGATGTTCAAAAATCTGGTAAAAATTCCCTTCCTTATAAAAACTTTTACTCTGTTTGCCTCAGATATGCCCTGGTGCGGAGAGGATTTTTAAATAAATAATGCATTTTTACTACAGATTCACTATATTATCAATAGAGCCCCCAACCCCAACCCCCAACCCCGAAAAACCAGAGCCTCTGACCCTGGGACCATATGTTTACTCATCATAACTAATCCCTTTGTTTATTTGCTTAACACTAAGGAGCAAACAGAATTATTTAATAAAATTAATGCATTTTCACTAAATTATCAAGAGCCCCACCCTCACACCAGCACATCTGACCCAGGGGTCATGAAATTCACTACTCTGGAAGAAGCACACTTGCTCATCATAATTATACACTTAGCTTCTTTGCTTTTTTTTACCAGAAGAAGAAAAGAATATTTTCAAAGAAATTTTGCTTTTTTCACTTTATAATCAATAAAAGTTCCCCCCCCCCCCACCAGAATCCTTAAACCTGGGGTCATAAAATTCACAATTTTGGAAGAGGCATTCTTGCGCATCATAACAATGTACTTTTAAATTAGTATGTTTAAACCCAGGGGCAGAGAAGAAGATTTTCAAAGAAATAATTCACCTTCACTATAGGATCTATATAGCCCCGCCCTAGCACCAGAACTCCTGTCCCGGGGGCCATGAATTTCACAATTTTGGAAGAGGCATCCTTGCTTATCATAACAATGTACTTAGTTTGTTTAAATAATACCCAGGTGCAGAGAAATAGATTTTTAAAAAATTAAAACATTTTCACTTTATAATCAATAGAGCCCCGCCCTAACACCAGAACCCCTGATCCAGGGGCCGAGAATTTCACAATTTTGAAAGAGGCATCCTTGATTATCATAACTATGTATTTAATGTGTTTCAATAATACCCAGGAGTAGAGAAGAAGATTTTCAAAGAATTAATGCATTTTCACTATATAATCAATAGATCCCCACCCTAACACCTGAACCCCTGACCCAGGGGCCATGAAATTCACAATTTTGAAAGAGGCACTCATGCTCATCATAACTATGTACTTAGTTATTGAATTTAATACCCAGGAGCAGAGAAGAAGATTTTCAAAGAATTAATGCATTTTCACTATATAATCAATAGAGTCCCGCCCTAACACCAGAACCCCTGACCCAGGGGCCATGAATTTCACAATTTTGGCAGAGGCACTCTTACTCATCATAACTATATACTTAGTTAGTTTATTTGATACCCAGGGACAGAGAAGAAGATTTTCAAAGAAATAATGCACTTTCACTATATGATCTATATAGCCCCGCCCTAGCACCAGAACCCCTGCCCCTGGGGCCATGAATTTCACAATTTTGGCAGAGGCACTCTTACTCATCATAACTATATACTTAGTTAGTTTATTTGATACCCAGGAGCAGAGAAGAAGATTTTCAAAGAAATAATGCACTTTCACTATATGATCTATATAGCCCCGCCCTAGCACCAGAACCCCTGCCCCTGGGGCCATGAATTTCACAATTTTGGAAGAGTCACTCTTACTCATCATAACTATATACTTAGTTAGTTTATTTAATACCCAGGAGCAGTGAAGAAGATTTTCAAAGAAATAATGCACTTTCACTATATGATCTATATAGCCCCGCCCTAGCACCAGAACCCCTGCCCCTGGGGCCATGAATTTCACAATTTTGGTAGAGGACTCAATGCTTATTACAATGATGCCAACAGTTTGACTGCTTGATGTCCAGGAGTATAGAAGAAGATTTTTAAAGATTGCATTAATTTTGGTGGTTTTAGCCCCACCCCTCAGGCCCAAGGGGGGCAGGGACCATGAAATTCACAATTTTTGTTCCCCTTCACCCATAGATGCTATATGCCAAATTTAGTTGAAATTGGTTGAGTGGTTTCAGAGAAGAAGCTAAAAATGTTCAAATGTTAACGCACATCGCACGACGCACGACGCACGACGCACGACGCACGCCGACGGACAAAAACGGATAGCAATAGG